CAGTTCTGTATCAAGTTACCCCCAAATGCTGTCATACCCCTCTTACTGCTATATATATATATATATAATTATTGATTTTTTTTCAAATGACCTACCGCAAACATCTGACACAACTATTGTTTCGTGCAATCAATTAAAGGAAGCAAAACGTTTCGCCAACATTGACAAGAGCTGGCAACGCATAATGCTACGCGCCCATGAGATGTCCAACGTGATAACCTGCTGTGTTGGCGACGACACACTGATCCAGCTGCTGCCGCATATGTTGGAACAGCTGGAACTCTGTCAGAAGTCGCTGACCGGTTACCTGGAAAAGAAGCGTCTAGTCTTCCCGCGCTTCTTCTTCGTGTCAGATCCGGCCCTGCTGGAGATTCTGGGACAGGCTTCGGATCCCCACACCATACAGAGCCATCTGCTCTCGGTGTTTGACAATACCAAGACCGTTACATTCGATGAGAAGGTGTACGAGAAGATAGTCGCTGTTTGCTCCCAGGAAGGGGAGACAATTCCCCTGCAGATGCCTGTTATGGCCCAGGTGAGTGAATGGTCCAGAACTACCATTTTTTGCAGAAAAGGCCTTACAGCGGATTTAGAGCATTTTTTTAGTTATTTGTAAGTAATTTAAGATTAACGCAATATCATCCATGAAATTTGAGGTCATTCGACTTCACCAAAAGCAAGAAATAACATTGCTTCTATCTTAGTGGTTTTCGTAGTCCGAAATTTAAAACTATTATTGAAACCATGTGGAGGTTTATATACCCTACAGGATAACATACGCAAGTCGCCAAATTTTAACAGAGACTTTCAACTTACCAACTGTAATAACCTTGCGGCCTCGGTGGGGTTCGAACCCACATCAATAAGGGAGGGCTTTTGTACAACCGAACGCTCTAGCCGATTGGGCTATAAGGTACACCGGGAGCCGCAAATTTACTCCCACTTGTGTTAGTATTGGTGGATTCCATACTTGCAGTGGGCTGTGTGGGTAAATCGACCCAAGAGTGATTAAATTCATGGCTCCCGGTGTGCCTTCATAGCTCAATCGGCTAGAGCGTTGGCTGCACTGAAGTCTCCTTTGTTGATTTGGGTTCGAATCCCACCAAGGCTGAAAATTTTCCTAAATTGCGTCAACTGAATTATCCAAATCTACCAGCCCCATACTAATAAGGGTATTCGATTGACAGTAGAATGTGTGGTCTGATTCAGAAAACGCGAGGTGGCGACGTTTTTACTACGAGAATAATTTATGGAATTTATGGGTGAGATAAATGAAGTTGTTGAATGGCTATATGCGAGAAAAAAGAACTTCATTAACTTTTTTTAATGTACCTATAAAGTGTGAAAACGTAAGCACACCATGAGAAATACCGGAAAATATAAGTTGTTAATAGGAGGCAAAGGCACACGAATTTATACCAACCTAAGGTGGCTATCACACCACAGGAGGCAATATGCAGATTATATCTTTAAATCCTACTCTCCAAATGTTAATGGTAATTGTAACGGCGTGACGGGCACCAAGCTGAAGGCGAAGGGTGTTATACTAAGCTTACTCAAATGACAAAAGTAGGTGTTTTTAGTACATCTAAAAACAAAAACCCGAAAGCAATATTGTACAGAAAGAGCCAGTCAAAGCCCGTGTGAGACCACTATAATTGTGGCTGCATCGCCATAATGGATCCTCTACAGGCGCACTAAGCAATGCCGAGGTGAAATGACAGCCCTAAGTACGGATTAAGTCATAGCAACAGCTCAGGTTTTCTTCTAGTATAGGTCAGACGACAATAAATTCCGCCTACTGCACTTGATCTCGGGACAGTGTAGGGGCATCGGAGCTCAAGTGTACGGTCCTCCTATGCGGCAGCACGGTGCCGAACAATCGCTTACCAATAAATATTACACATTAGAATCCGTCGGATCGAAAATGCCATTTATGCAATGGTCTTTGGGCCCCCGGCTAGTCATACGTCAACCCCCACATCAAAAGAGGGTGTGATTTGAACCAGCATCCTGTTTTTCCTCACGCTTTAAGTTCGATTGCTGGAAACTCGCTCGACCGCAGCTGGGTCTATTCTAAACTATGTGCAATGGAAGAGCTAGAAGTGCCGATTGAAGGAGGGAATAGCACGGCCTAAGACTGAGGGATCGGTGGAGACGAAGAAAGCCAGATCATGAATTTTGAGGGAAGAATCTGAATTCAAACTTTACTGTTCCCAACAGTTGCTAGCTTTTATCGAGGACATCCGGCGTCAACTGATAGCAGGAAAAGCCAAACTGTTTTCGATCTTCTACTTATCGTTGCCCATTACCTATTACCAACACTGGCCTACTAAAACACATGAGCTAGTTTGCGGTAAAAGGAGTTTTCTAGAGGCTATTTTTCTTTCTTACAGGGCAATGTGGAGGTTTGGTTAGGAGATCTTCTGAAGGCTTCCAGGCAATCGCTTCATCAAATAATCAAAGACGCTTACTATCTCATCAACGGTAGCCAATTCCAACTGCTGGACTTCGAGAACTCCTACATCGCGCAAGTAGGCCTGCTGGGTATCCAGCTTCTTTGGACCAGGGACGCTGAAGCCGCCCTCGTTCAAGCCCGATACGATAAGGCCATTATGCAGGAGACGAATCATCGTTTTCTCGATATTCTCAACAAACTCATTGGTGTGACCACGCAAGAGCTCACGAAAAACGAGCGAACCAAATATGAAACGCTCATCACCATCCACGTGCATCAAAAGGATATATTTGATGATCTGGTGAGTATGCTCTGTTCCGTAATCAGCAATCCTGTCAAGTGAATGAAAACGCTCGCGTTCCAGGTACTTGCATGAATGAGAAAGAAGGGCTGTCGAGAACTGGATTATCAATTTTTTATTGTTCAGAGCTTTCGGGCTCTTGCGTGAGTCCATCGTCATGGATAAAAGCGTCCACGAAAAACAAGCAACAGATATGGGGGCAAGTACCAATCAAAGCTTGTACGGGGGGAGGGGAGGAGGGAACTCATCAAACACCAGTGTCTACCGTGCGAATATGCCTACAGAGAGCAATGTATGCCAGCGCAAGACCCACTAAATCCCAATGAGCAATCCAGGGTAATGTATCGCATCCCATACTTAAGCTGTCCTTGTAACTAAACAGGGCAAACCGAACGCATGCTCGGTTCGCGCATACACGAAAATAAGCTGGCTGTCAGACGGGATGATGCATTGTCACAAGTGGTGGTCCAAACCTACGAGACGGGTCAAAAATTTAACCTCGCAGCCATGAAGATAACCGCCCACGCTGGCAGCAGGACAGGCCGAGAATTGATTGGAGCCTGGGCCTCGAATGAAAATTCAGTTTATCGATTTATCGATCTGGTGCTGGCATACATCGCCCTTCGTAGGCATATATGCACGGCGGACATTGGTATTTAGTGAATTCTCTCCTTCCTTCTCCCCGTATAAGGTCCTTGTCCCCAGATCTGTTGCTTGTTTTTCGTAGACGCTTTTAACTCTCTGACGATGGACTCCCACAAGAGCCCGAAAGTTCAGAGCAATAAACAAATTGATCCGGTGCTCGACAACCCTTCTTCCTCATTCATATTGTCAAGTCGACCCCAGTCTGTTGCCAACAACAGCATTCCAAAGTAAACCAGTGTGATACCAGTCTGACACTAAAATTTAAGAAAGACTGATAATCACTTGCGAGATGGCATTAGCGCATGTATGAAAACATAGAAATAATAGTAAGCAGAACTTAAACCGAATTTAAAACTTACAGGAACATAAAAATTACTATCTGGAACGGGGAAGAATCGCTGTAACTGTGAACACGAAACGTAAATATAATTGTCAGGCGAAATCCTAAACATACCCTTTTGTGTGTATCTTAGGAGAACCTTTCTTTTGTCAAATTTCTTCATAGATATTTCTGATATTGAATTACAATTAGTTTCAGGTCATCCATAGAAGTCCGACGAATAATTTATGATATTCCGTCTTTTAAAGTTTTTTTCATTAATTAGAATCTGTTCGATTATTTTTTGTTTAAACTTGAAAAAAATGTATTTCTTGATAGCGTTTACTGAAAACACAAGCGTTTGGGTATTATTTCTTAAGGGAATGGTCGTTTGGGTTATATTCTGAGACTCAACCAAGCATTAAATCTCATTGTGGAGAAAAATGAAGCCTACAACCATGGTCCGATATAAGATAAATTAAAACACTTTTCTATAAAAATGATGCCTTTTAAGAGTCCTATAATTCGATATTCAGCTGACGAATATCTGCGCAAATTGTCTCTTGTCAAGGTAGCGTCAATGCAAAAAGAGTGGACTTTGACAAGTTTTGTATTTTCTTGACATTTTGTAATAAATTATTAATAAAGTATAATGATAATTTAAAATAATAAATATATAATATATAAATAAAACGTAAATTTTATAACTAAAGGGTGGCCGAATTCCTACTATGATTTTACGAAAACTGCTATTCTTGTATCCTTTTCGTTTCTAACTTACGCATAAACGGAAACTATAGCTTACAAAAGGTATCTTTTCGCGTGCCTTAGATTTAGCAACGTGTCTTCAAAAAGTCGATTTGGCAACTCTTCATCAAGGCAAAGATCACGAGTTTAGCAGAATTTAATGATGTCGTAAATTTCGTGACCACTCATTCAGCTGCAGACAGTCGTTGCCTATTAATAAGAGAATTAACTGTCTAATTAAGTGTCAGCCTCGAAGGGTGAAACTTGATAGGTAAGGGGAGTAGAAA